TCACTTTAGCCATTTTCCGACAGTCAAATTCTGCTGGATAGAACTAGCATTTGTGGTTGACGTAGCTGCTGTCGTACTATAAATTTATCCTGCATCAATATGCCATTCATACCCGACGCAGCCTTTTCTCCAGTTTCTTCCGAAATATTACAGGTTCCTGTAGTGATATTGGGATGTGAAAGATATTATTGTGGGCTTTGATGAATCAGTTTCACAGTGCTGTAGAATCACAATGCTTCCTGTTTTCCCTTGACTCTCAGTAGAAACATAAACAAAAATAAAACAAAACCCACTGATTATTGCCTCTCCCTCGGGTTTCTAGTGTCAGAGAACAATTTGTTAATGCTTCTCAGCTTGTGTAATGCCTATCTTCAACATTTTGGCTCTGTTTCGGTTTTGAGCAGAATTTGATTTCAAGTATTGCAAGTCTCCAGATCTCAGCTGACACTGGCGGCCACAATTCTGCTATGTTGCTGTGCTTGGTAGAAGCCACAACTTCTGTGTTATAATAATGAATAATGGCTACTCATTGCAAAGGATATTATGTTTCGGCTTTTCTGTGTTGCTTGACTGAAATGTAACCACAGATCAGCATAGGGTGGACTGTTGCAGCACAAAAGGGAATATATAGTATTGTATTGTAACTGATTTTAAGTCAGATAAATCAGATTAACAGCTTACAGTATGTTAAATGGCCAAAGCAATGCATATTCAACAGTGGAAATTTATTAAACAATGCAACTACAGATAATGCGAAGTCATCATCACTTCTGGAATTTTTTGTTTTGCTGCTAAACTTGAAGAAACTTGGGAAACGCAAACTTGTACTCCTCACATACAGACTAGTGGTCGACCAATACGGGTTTTTCAATGGCCAGTGCCGATATTTAGAGAGACAATGGCTAATATATTATGCCGATATCAAAACATAGAAAAGTCATGAATAATTCCATTATTCCATGCAGAGTGCAATCTAATATACATGGTTATCTCAGGCAGTAATGTGCTGTTTTAGATGGAATTTTCATTAATTCATGAAATAGAAGAATACTTTGGGTTATGCTGTAGATTTCAGCACGTGACTGGTGTTTAAGGGAGAGTAGGGTACAGTTTGCCACAAGTGACGTCATTCAACTGCATTAGTGTCTACAGTATAAGATTATAGACTTGATGCTAGGCAGTAATGGTTTTACATTAGATTAGCTGTCATTTCGGGTGGGAGAAATATGTTAACATTTAGAAAAGACGATGGCGACTGGGGAAATGTGTGGCTTAAAACTAACTTCTTCACCACCTTCCCAAAATTCACAAGGGGGTGTGCTAACATAGTTCCACAGCCGCCACACTGACATCGCCATTTTTTGTATATTGGCCTTATGAGTGCAGGTACTGGCTGATGCAGAGCATCTCAAAATGCCAGATATCGGCTCGATTAATCGGCCTATCACTAATATATACCATATGTATCTTGGTGTGGTCCTTTAGTAAATGAGGCCAAATGCAATTTTACTGTTAGGCACATAAAAAGGGCTGCAAATCCTAAAAATATACACAGTGGAAACCGCTTATAGAGATCACACCACAGACTATATATAAAGAAATCACACTGACTGGATCAAAAAGCTTGGGACAGAATGATTCCTATACAAATTTAGAAATGCACTGAAACCAGGGCCAGGCTGTGGCTTGTACTACTTATGTTACTGTATTTGTAAAGAGCACAATACTGTTTTAGGTTATAGCCTAATTATATTTTGAACTACTGTCTACTACTATTTTATATACATGTCCTGTACTGTTTTGCTGTATAGTGTATTTGACTTATACACAATACAACAATTATTATTTTAGTTGTGGAAAATTCTTTTCCATTTTTAACTGAGACTAGATTCTTTGCCGTCGTCAAGCCATGGTAGGGCTACAATTTATCTATTAATTATATTGTAATTAGTAATGCATCAGTTCTGAAAAATATTTCCTGTCTAATTACTCAGTTTTTCTAGCAGCAAAACCCTAAATATGAATACAACATTTGTACTTGATGACTTACAATACCATTTAGATCAACAAAATGCTGTTGGAAAATAATTTGTGGAAGCAGAAATAGAAGCCTCAGTTTCAGGAAAAAGGCAGATCTGCAGGATCCCATTCTCTATCAACAGTTCATGCCTGTCAGTGCCCTCTTGTCTTTCCATCTTCAATCAAAAAGCTTTAGACTAATCTATTTCTGTATCCCTGTACATTGTCCCTCTTGCAATCATAACAGTGTAGAAGCATAGCCGGAAGAGTTACAAGGCTGAATATCCTCCAAGGTAAAGGTGAAGAGAGGATGTAAGCCTTCATCTTAAGAAATGGTCCTTTGATCAATGAAGAAAGTGGATGTTTATCTCCAGGGACATGTACAGAGCTGTCAAAGCTTTGCATATCAATAAAGAAAGCGTTGCATATGCTCATATGTGTCAAACTGTTACCATTCAAATATTTGATCTCCATGTGTCAGTGATGTCAAGGTAGTCCACTTTCAATTAGATACCGACCGATATGGGAGTTTAGAGGGGAAAAGTTCACAAATACGGCGCCGATATAGTGATTTTTTTGAGTCGGAATGAAAATAGACCTTTCTATGTGGACTGTGCACTGACATGCCAAAGCAAAGGTACTCAGAAGGCTGCTTTCTTAAACATCTGTATTTAAAAATATTTAAGTTCAATCATCTTTACCTTTACTTTTTTCCTGCTTATTTTTCCAGCATCTTTAGCAATATAATTCTGCTATTAATGTATAACATTAACAAGTATGATAAGCTTGTTGTCACGGAAAGTAAAAGATGGGCATTTACATACCGGCATTTTGTCTCACCAACTAGGTTACAATGTAATGTGAAATCAACACTCAACAGATTCAACCCACCACCACATCATTGTCTGTGAGTTGCAGAATGAATGGGAACATTATATTAGTTCATTATTAACAGTAACAAACTAGTTAGCAGCTTGACTTGACCCGCACCACTGTCTGCTCAGCTGCTCAGCTGTAGACGGTGCCTACTCAGTAAACAATGGAGTCGTCTCGTGCTATGCTAGACAAACTACGTGAGGACACCATTTTCAAATAACCCCAAGCATCGTTTTTGCCATTAAACGTTCTATAAAAAATGTTTTCATATCGGTGCATATCAGAAAAGAGATATGCCAATACCGAAATATCTGTGATAGGCTGTCCGCTCAGGAGGTAGAGCGGGTCGTTCACCAGTCAGAAGGGTGCAGGTTAAATTCCTGGCTCCTCAATTTTGTATTTCAAAGTGTCCTTGGGTGAGATACTGAACCCCAAATGTGTGTGTGTGTGTGAGTGTGTGAGAATGTTAGTTTCCTGGTGGTCACTGCCAGTATGAATGTGTGTGTGAATGGATCAATGTGACATGTAGTGCAAAGCGCTTTGAGTGGTCTGAAGATTAGAAAGGCACTATACTGTGCAGTCCATTTACCATTGGGCCCATACCAGGGCCAAATCGGTCAGGCTCTGCTTTTAATCTGATTTAGTTGTTTGCTTACAGATGGCCTTTCAGGACTTATCAATCCAGTACCGATTGTCTGTGGAAAAGCACTCAACATTAATTGCTTCTAATGTGACACTGGGATTGACTTGATATGCATGGTTGTGTTTTTAGCCATGCTGGTGACTTGGCCCTTGTGAGGGCAATGTCAGTCTTTCGGTTCTTCCACCACTTAGGTCCAGACTAAAATATCTCAACAGCTATTGGGTTGATTGGCATTACGTTTTATTATGACATTCATGGACCTCAGAGGACGACTCGTAATAACGGAAAACGGAGGGATCACCAATCCCTGTGTTTTCCTGTAGTGCCACCATGAGGTTAACGTGTTGTTCTGGCTTCAGTGTATCGACAACTGTTGGATGGATTGCATTATGAGACTATCGCTTTGCAAATTTGGAATAATATCTTATTACCTTTATATTGACTGATACTGCAATTGCGATATGATTTGCGACATTAAAGGGAACAATGATTTTTACATCAATATTTTAATTTTGGTTGTAAAACAGATTAATATATTCTTAATTCTGAAAAATTGCACCTCCTGTGATTTGAAAACAGTAGACCAAATTGTGATTTTGATACAATTTCAATTAATTATGAGCATGCTTACATGCTGACCTTAGGCACGGCTTTTAGCGAAATGCTAAGTACATCTGACAGAGCTGCTAGCATGGCTGGACTCACATTCCTGTTACCTTCTCCGACGTCTTTTATTTTCACTAACTTGGATTTCAAGTAGGAAGATAGGTTTATTGTCACAATATAATAAGTTATAGAGTGAAATTGAGTTTTGTAACTCCCTTCTGCTACATAGCAAACAATATACATTAATACAGAATCAATTATGAAAAATGATAAACAGAAATTAACTATCATTACTGGAGCAGTTTCAGTGTGGAGTTGTTGTGTTTGTAGTGTTTCGTGTTCAGAATGCTTTATTAGAGGCTATTTGAGGGAATCAAAATGAGGGAATCAAAATTAATTGATGCATCTTCTTTTTAGTGGGATAAGCAGTGGGGTTTTGCACTAACAAGGGAGTACAGGCCATTAAAGAAGAGGGATGAAATTGGCAGCATACACATGTGGAGAGGATAATCCCCTCAGAACCCCCTAAAGGCTCAATTTAGTCTAATCTGTATCTGGAAAGCTTGTGGTGTATGGAAAGAGAAATGGTATAGATAGTGAGATGGAGACATGCGGGATATAGTCTGCCTTGGTCCCGTAATGAACATACATATTTGCCTCACCTGCCAAGTACTTCACAGAGCCAATTATTTTCTAATCAGTTTGTAAAGTATAACTTTTGTGTAGGGCAGTAATCAAGTTGTGTTATGCCTGTCTTTATCTTGGCAATCAATCAAACTATCTCTATCCAGCTTATTTCTCTATTTGCCACAGGCTGTGATTAGATGATAGAGCCACTAACCACCACTGGTAAAAATAAAACTGCAGTTATTTTAGAAGGAATGGCTCTTAAGGAAGACTATTTTTATTTTTTTTTTATCACTTATTTTGGCTTTACATAGCAAGGCGACAGAACTCATCAGCAACATCCTCAAGCTGATTTTCAATTTCTGCGCTTCCTGTAAAAGAATCATTTAATTTACTTAATGTCAGACTTCGATAACAATTCAAAACATAAAGACAAAAACATGCTAAACACAGAGGCCAGTGTTGCTGTATATCCAAAGTAAATAACTTGCAGCTTTTGTTGGGATCAGTTATGCTGTTCTTCATATAATCTACAGTGCAACCACCAAGTATTTGGTCAATTTTATTTTGGCTTTATGGTAAGGAACAATTTCAAGTGAAATAAATAAATGACTACACAGTTTTATGTCACTAACTTAAATGGAGATCATAGATTCTGGCAGTACACCATAAACCTAAATGTAGGACTGGAATTATTGGCTGATTAATCTATTAGTCAAGTATAGATAATAGAAGAAATATTTGTCAGCTATTTATCTAATTGATTAATCTTGAAGTCATATTTCAAGGAAAACATGCACATGAATAGATGACGATTTCATCTATTTCAGTGCAACTTTTTAAGCGAGTGTATCAAATATTTAAATGTAGCATTGTATGCTTTTTTTGCTCAATGTCTAAACCTTTTCAGCCAACCCCACAGAAAGAAGGCCTCTCTCACAGTATTATGAAGCCATTTTTTAAATTCCAACTAGATTCAGCATTATAAAGTATGCTTTGTGCATACTTATATAGCTTTCCATTTGGGCTGGGTATTGTTTGATTGGATTAGATACCTGAGTTTTGATATTGGAAACAAAATGCTATTTATTATTTTAATTTTAGAAATGTAATGTCTAAACACAAGTAGCTGTATAATAATTTTGCCTGGACATAATACACAAATATGTCATCCAAGAATAAGTAAACAATGTCAGCTTTTGGTACTTCAGTTTGAGTGTCAAGTGGTACAGATGCATTTCAGTTGCCGCCAAAAAAGCGTTAAGCTGATGATACACGGAGCAACTTTTATAGCAATGGTGCTGGGCAATGTTGTCAATGGTAATGAGCAAAGATTACTACCATAATCCCCCCCCCCACCCCCTGCTGCTATCCGTTCAAAACATAGTCAGACTTGCCACCAGCAAGATTGCTCAGCAACATTGCTCAAAAAGTTGCCCCCATGTATCATCAGCTTTAAGGTTCAACACCAGCCCTTCTTGCCACTGTAAAAATTTAATATTAGTGTCAGTGGCGCATAATAGTTTACAACAACATTTACAATTCACATGTCTACAACTGGTAGGACATACCTATTTACCCATTTTAACAGTAATATATGTTGACCAACAGGAATGTAGTCTGTAGTAGCACTGCTGTTATAAACTGTATTTCAACCTGGGATCCATATGCATCACATGTATAGACCACTGGATGTAAAACTATATAGTTATGAAAGCATTAAATGACTCACTGTTGATTTCTGATATTGACGTTGATTGCTCACGTGAACCTCCAAACTCCGCAGGGTAAACACTGATTGCGGGATTGATTATGCTGTGACATCCATCTACATGATTGCCCTCAAGCTTTGTAAGACCAGAGCACCCTATGGTGTACAGAAGAGAGTGCTTAATGATGACCGCATTTTTAGTTTGATTAAGCGACAACTTTAAATCTGTTTTCCTGTTTATCTTAGACAAGGATAATTACAATGGAAAAATAGACAATATGACAATATAGACAGTATGTTGGGAAAATGTCCTGCTGATACTTCTGTCATAATTCGGAATACTTTATAACTCTAAATGTGACTTACTGTATACAAACTTTTCTGAATCTAAAAACAATAGAAATCACAACGTTTTCAAATCCATTTTGGTTGAAATATTAGTTATTGTTAAAATAATTAGAAAACAGTTTTCAGGTGAAAACAGATGTACTTCGTAAGATTTCTTTTGAAAATTACTAAAAATTAAAGTGCAGGTGATGCAGCGAGACACAGAGTAGATTCACCATATTTACACAGATAAAATTATGTCACTGCTCACAAATTGTTTTGTGAGCAGTGACATCCCACATTGCCCAAGTGAGCAATTTTTGTCTAAGACAACTCTGTCAGCATATCCAAATAAAGTAAAAATAGTAATAATGATAACTATACTCATTTCCGATTGCACAGGTTTTGCACAGTCCTCCCTTAAAAACTTGTAATGATTAAATACTTGCATATGACTTCCAGCTCTTTTCACATGTTCACATTATAATATTTCTTGGGCAGAATATATCTCTATCTCTACTTATGGCAAAAGACTTATTATTGGGACCTGAGTGAGCAAATGAAGCAGTAATTGGGCGCTGGCATCAGTGTTTCAATAGCCTTTGGTCTGTGTTCAGTTCAAACTTAATGAGTGAGACTAGTGATTGTGGAATAGACCTGGCTGCTGGAAATGTAAATCAGAAAGGGGAACCATAAAGAAAGAAGAAACAATGAAACGATAAAAAAGAAAAGAAAAACGAATATGGGGAATAAAATCACAGAATAAAGTAGAGATTGCATCTTGCACTAGTCTCAAGTGAATTAAGTAAGATGTACTTATTCACCTTGAAAGTCCCAGATAGTCTGAGATCAGCATATACTGTATACCCATCCCTACAAAATTGTCTTTTGAATAGCAGCCAGTAAGAGCTATTTTAGAAATTGTGGAGAAAATTGGGCTCAGCAAAATTTGATTCCATGTCTGTCTTTACCCTCTGGGACCACAGATCAGCCACGTTGATATGAGTGTTCTGTGTGGGGTTAAGTAATGTCATATTATTATAGCATTTCTGGGTATTGAAGATCAAATATTTCGAACTGTTCTCCCTCACTGCCACGTGGAGCTGCCAGCATGAGAAATTGGCTATTGCTGCTTTGACCATACATATATACATACATATATATACATATACATATATAATATATATATATATATATATATATATATTATAGCCACCCACATTTGTGTGATCAAACACTTTTGTATTTCAACCATATTGTTATTCATTTTGTGCTAGGGGCACAATGTTTTGTCTGTAGTTTCTCTCAAGGACTGAACAGAAGTTTGAACCGTTCAATCTTTTATTATGAGGCTGCCGAAACCAATCCAGAATTTATATCCCAAATATACTGAACTTGGTGACAACACCAGTGTCAATATTGTAGTATACAATATTTAAAAACCCTAATGCCTGTAAAAAGGCAAAAACATTATTTTGTGAACATGAATCAGTTACATGAAAGTAATCACTTTAATTCTTGTAATTCATGTGGTCTTGTGAAATTACATTTCAGTGGCTGCTTCCAGTCAACATGAAGTTACAGCCAGCTGCTACTTAGCATAAAGATATAAAGGTGACTAAATCAGCCTACCAGCACCTCTAAGGCTCACTATTTAACACATTTGTTTAATCCGTACAAAAACAAAGTGTAAAAAGTACAATTTGTGGTTTTACAAGTATTAGTGTGCGGTTAACTGCTCTCGGTCAAAAAGTAGTCCTTATTTAACTGGCTTCTGGCCATATATTGACCATACAGACATCAGAGTGGTATTGATCGAATGAACATTCTGCAAGAAAGCAAATAAGTGTATTTCCTAAAATGTTTAACGGTTACCTAAAATTTCAAAGTCATTGCTCCATTTTGTAGCTATTTATATTTTTGTCATGTGCATTGTAACATATGTTGTCCATGACACTATTTACAAAGAGAGGTTAGGTGTAAAGTCTGGTAAATTAGATTTATATTTGACCTCTTAAAATTTTGCTTCCATATACAAATTCATGATATCAATCACCCAGTCACAGAATCATCAACTCCTGGAATTTAATTGGTTTACCAGTCCTGTAAGAGACCTAAAGCATTAATGCCCTCACTCATTACACATGCCACCTCTGTCTCCCCAGAGATGGACTTGTTAACTGTCACGATAAATGATCAAACTTTGTCTTTACCTCCTGCCATTTTCTCACAAGTAGAGGGGAGTATCATTAGTTTTTTTAATGATACAGAAAATTGCCATATACATAAATATGTTTATAAAAAGAAAGCTAGACTTCATTAAGAACCCAAATGCAGGTTGAGGTGGGAACCACGTATAAGAAGCAGAGCAGATTGCTGATGATTGGCAGCTGGTGTCCCAACTCCAACACACCTGACTCCATTCCTGTAATCAGAACACACACGAAAGGGAAGAGGGAGAGACAAAGTCAGAAACAGAGGCCATAACACAGGATTAGAATAGAATATTTTAAATATAGCTAAATGTTGTTTCTAGAGTAGAACAGTAATCTTTACAACAGAAAAGTTACTATATAAACTCTAACATCTCGCTAGAATCAAATCTAAAATATGAATAAAATAATTCTTATTCCTGCCATCAAAATACCGAGTGAAGTTTAGAAACAATGAAGAACAAAGACATCGGTCACGATCAGTCACTCCTGTCTTCCACCGTCTGATGCGGATTTGATTTTATGCCTACAGGTACCACTAGTAGCAAGAGGAAGGGCTGGTTAGCCTCCATCAGTAGCCAAGTTTACAAGAATATCACAGATTTTAAGATACGTGGCAAAGTAAGCTAAGCAGTTATGCTACAGACAGCTGTTTTAGCTAGTTTGTAGTTTGACAGAGCAGATTAAAATATCGCTTTCTAAAAGTTTACATGTCTACTTGTTGAACAGGTGTATTGATAAAGTATTGGCTTTTTACTCTCAAAGGTTTTATTGCACTTACTTTACAGCAATGAGCATAGTTGTCTCGAGTAACGCGCTACGACCTCTCTGATCTGCTGACTTTGCTGTGTGTGTGTGTGGAAGAGCTCAGACCAGACACAAACAGGGGAGAGGCTGCAGTTTGATAATAAATTACACCAAAATAATGTATTTAAATCGTTTTCACCACTTGCCCTATATGGCATTTTTCTTGCCCCGGGCAATCAGACAATCCTTGCCCTGTTTACATCTGCCTGTTGTGTGCACCTTTGAGGCTTGGCAGCTGTAACAATCGTGTGTCAATCTGCTAATCTCATGTGCTCTGAATTGCTGCTAATTGAACATGTTGACGGCTGCCCACCTTGACTCAATTGGCACAGAAGTACGTTGTGTTCTCCAGAATCGCATCTTTGATTGGTAGAAGAGGGAAAGTGAACGTGAAGAGAGCTGGTTTGGAAGATAAAAATAATGCCTCTGTGTTCTTTTCTGTGATTATAGGTTATGCTGCTGGTGCTTCTAGGTATGGGGCAAAGTTGAGGAAATGAGTTAACACAGAAGCATGCATAGCAACTACAATGGATTACTTTATGGGACTCATCAGCATGGTCACTAGTTGCTGTGTTGACCAACCATATTGCTTAGATGAAATGCCCTGCTATAATTGGAAAGTAAGTGTAGTGGTTTTTACAATTATTAATCAGGCTGCTTTTTGTATTATAAATAGCATTATTAGGCCTCTAAAACCAGTACTCCCATTAAGTCAGTGCCTCAGTGTCCAGCACTTTGCTTTTAAGAGAATTAATTTAATTCATTACAGTAATCAGTATCACTGATAAATTCCTTATTCTCTGGGAGTTTTGCCAATTTGAAAAATCAGTTGATTTACTGATTAGTTGGTTTTAAAACCTGGATATTCATTTAGTACATGGTACAAGACATTTACCATTTACATTTTATTCTTGTGCAAACATGAACATGTTTTAAGGACTACAGCCCATGTTGGAGTCACGCATCAGCTTATTTAATGCTCAGGGCCACACAATGTGTTGCTAAGATTCGGGAGGTGTGCCCTTGGGCTCCTGCGAACCATTGCAACATATTGTTACCCATAACACACTACATAGAAATAGGAATATGGTCTAAAAGTACAAGAATATATGAAATTCCAGTACGACCACGCAAAACCATCTGCACAACAGAGACTGATAGTGTGATTGGAAATATTTTTTTCAAAATGTGAATCTTTTTTGATTGGACTGGATTTTACTTTTTTTTGAAAGGTTTGATTCCCTTGTCTCAGATTAGTTATTTAGGTAGAACTCATGGTTGAGCTGTTTTACTGGATTGCATTATATTTTTCAGGTGTACCTAATAAAGCGGTCACCGAGTGTCACAATATTACATTGCGACGTGTTGGCGTATTCACTTGCAGCAGCATCACACATAGCTAAAAATGAATGTAAAGTTGCTGCTGGCTCCACTGAGAGGGATGCGGTTTAAAAAGAATAGGCAACTTCTGCAGTTTGGAAGAGGTTTGAAACATAAACCTGTAGAGAAAAAGTGCAGAGGCGCTACATCACACAACAAATCTATTACCTACATTGACCGTGAGATGAGATACGTCAAAATCTGACTGAGCTCATGTGAACATGATGGATCTAACGTCCCATGGTACATTTACTTTGCAGTATAGTTCATTAAAACAGGACATTGCAATGTGAAGGGGGGGCTGAGTTTTTACAAGTTGGGAAAAGTAGAGAGAAAAGGTGCACTCACTCACAGTAAAGTTGCCTCTGAGCAGAGCAGTCAGGGTGAGGTTAGTATGATAATCTCCAGCTGGACACGTTTTATCCAATGTGGCCGAGTTCAACCGAGTTGAAGTTAGTTTAAAGTTATTGGTATTGATCAGTTCAGCTCAGCAGGTCTGTTTGCCTGAACAACTGTGATCAGAGAGTTATTTCAAAGAAAAGCACACATAAGCTCTGCTTCTGTATGCCCCTCCAAAACATCCTTTGAGAGCACCATGTGCGTATTACACCAGCAGCATACAAGGGCTGGCTGTTTAAATCTGAACACGCCGCTTGAAACACAGACCCCCATTTTGCACAGCTTTGACACAAATGATATGATATTTATGTTGTGAAGTACTTCGTTACACTACATAAATATTCTCATATATATACTTAGCACAAAAATATGTCACAATATTGTAATAAGATTTTAAGGAACTATTGCCCACCCTTGGATTCTTGCTATGTTCAGTTTCAGATGTAGTTTTATTCTGGCTTCTCTTTGATCTCTTTGCCCTACTTCTGTTGCCAGTGAAGAGATGAATCTGCCAAAACAATACACAGAAATAAAGTTTGTATTCCAAACACTGTGTCTTTTGAATTTAGCTTCCTGCTCCTCAGGATGAAGCTGTAAAGCAGATACGTTGAGAATATGTGACATTCACATCATGTAAACTATAAAAGTAAGCATAGATTGACTTTGACTGCTAACATGAAAGTGGCGAGTCCTCACAGGGGCAAATGAGATATTGTGTTTGGGAGCAGCAGGTTATACTTTAGATTGAAAACAAGATGGGATCATTTTGGAAGATAATGGGCGGATATTTTTTTTCTCTGCAATCATGCTAAGGATTTGATTGCGGCAAGGTTTTGACAATTCAACATACGTAAGACTTGAGTATAACACTGACATTTACTATAATTCACATGTTTTCAGCTGCCAGAGTTCCATCTTGAGCAAAACCAAATGAGTTGCAATCAGCTTTGGCATTGTTATACTCTGACAAAGCTGACTGGGCTTGCTACTTTTGAGTGCCGGAGCTACAGCCTAACAATATGCCTCCATTACTTTTGATTGGCAGTGCAGAGCACTGACTCGTGTTTCACATTTCCACTGCTGATACTGAGCCTGAAGGTAGCAAGAGGAGCTGCCAGGAACCCAAACAGAATAAAAATTGGCATGTGGCAACTTTGAGTGATAAACAATAGAAGCTGCAGATACGTGGGGCTTGAAAAGACACACAAGTGTGCTCAGATGTACAGAACCCTGCCTGACAGCTGATACAAACAGACTAGTCTTTGGAGTAAAAGATACTTTCAAAGCGAATTACCTGTGAGGATACTGAATACATTGAACACTTGCACACAAAGACAAAGCATGGATACACACACACACTTGGGAAACTTAGAGATATTTAAATGTCAAGTTGTTAGAGCAGTACACAGTGATGTTCATTGGCAGTATTTTAAGACTAAACATATTATTTTTATATCAAAAAAGCGTTCACTATAGTCTTCACTGAGATTGAGTAGATTCAGCCCAACGCTATTTCATATTCTATATATTTCATATACTATACCTACAATTTTCTTTGCGATTTGCTCGGAAACGTCTTCCAAGTCAGATTCATCAAACTTTCTGGACTGCACAAACTTGCCTTATTTGCCTTAGTTGGCGTTCAGGTGATTGGATCAGAAGCATAGGTGTCTGAGAAGGTACATCTGAAGGACAAAGGACACTCGTTTGAGGACCACCAGGTGCACATTTTAGACAGAGAAGATGGATGGTTCGAAAAAGGTGTCAGGGAAGCCATCTACACCCGGGTTGAGAAGCCGTCATTGAACAGAGGAGGGGGTCTACGCCACTACTTATCCCCCACTTACAATGCTGTCCTTGCATCACTTCCCAGGAAACTAAACAAGCATTTCCTCTTGGCTTCAGGTGAAGATGCCAACGATGGTCGTTCAGACTTGGCCTCGGGTGGCTGTAACGACCATGATGATAAAATGTTTTGCTAAACCCAAGCAGTCCATGACTTCAGATGGGGGTGATCATGGTGTTACACTGTGACGGCTCTTGGGGTGTGAGAATTTTTGTAATAGCTACTGAACTGTATAAGGAGCCGTAACAAAATATGCCACTAAAAAATGAACAAAATTACAATTAACCTTTTTCCTGCACATAATGATTATAAGTGATGAAATATTAGATTGTTATATTTCTGATATTTCTGCCTTTAAAGGCGCATGAGACGATGCTGGTATGAAAGTGTTTTGTGAATTGTTATTTTGCTATGATACAGCAGGTCTGTATGTGAAATTTCATTTTGCTCACCAGTTGTAGCCTTTAACCTTGTCATCCTATTCTTTGTTATGTGGGCTGTGCAGCAATTCAAGTGTAACTATCTTAATCTTTTTTTCCCTCCTTCTCCCTTTTCTTGCCTCTCTCAGGTAATGTTGGCTGCTTCCTATTGGTCATTGCTGGCCCCGGCGATCGAAATGGCAGAGGATTCTGGGAAATACGGCTCATTTGCTTTCTTGCCCGTGGCTGTGGGATTCACACTTGGAGCGGCCTTTGTTTACTTCGCTGACCTGGCCATGCCCCTACTGGTAAGAACAGTCTGATTCAGTCTTCAGTGAAGATTGTAAGAATAGTATTTGTAGTGGTATGTGAACACTGAATGTAGCAGGTGCTCATCGGTGTATTTGATAAGGAGTTCCCTGCTGCAGTTGCTTGTAACTTTTGTACATGATTACTATTAAATGTCTTGATTCTAAATATCCTTAGGTGTTTGTATATTCTTAAGCTTTGTGAGGCAATCAAAGCCAAGTAACTGGGTTTAAACAAAACAAAGTAACATTTTAGGGTCCTATTCCATTAGTAAACTAAAAATGTATTTGAAAAATGTTCATATCTTTCTAAATAATGTTGTTGATTATAAGCAAAGTCATTTTTAGGACCATGCTAAGTTTTTAGTTTGAAGAAAAGACATAAAAGAACTGCAGCAGTCTGAACTCATAATTGGATAGATTCATCACATTTTTTTCATTCTTTCTCTCAAATTAGAATGTTCCTTTCAAAGTCAGTACTTTTTCTCCTGTTTTTGCTGTAATTACATGGTCCATTTTTTGGAAACGTTTGAAGGGAAATATTAAGGAATCAGGGCTCCAGAAACTAAAGTATTACTCAAAATGTATACTTAAGCTGTCTATGTGATTTATGGTTTCTTGTGTGTGACTGTCACATTGACTTCGACACAGCAAAAAAGGCTTAATCAGTCTCTGACAGAGATAACGGCTTCAAGCAAGAGCTTGACTTGAGTTCTGAAGTGATAGCTTTATATAGCCTCTTGATGTTTAGATGCCACCAGGGCTGTGGTACTCAAGCCTGGTCTTGGACTTCTATCTGCAAAGGTTTTGTATTTATTTATTTAATCTTGGAGCTTGTCTCAGACTGTGGGGTGTTTTGACTATGACTTGTCTCGCACTCGCCTGATAAGTCTCTGGAGTCCAGCTGGCTCTGTCTCTGTGCTCCATTACCTCTTGTGTGTGTGGCGAGTAATGTTAGCATTAGCAGCTAACATTACCAAAGCACGCTGGCCCCAAACTCCTGCCGGTTTAAGGTGATACCTTAAGCCCTTTTTATTTACAAGGACATGCGCTCAAAGCTTTGTTCACACTGACCTGGAAACAGAGATAAAAAATGTCAACAGTCAGCAGAATTTGTGGGGCTGCCCCCGATGGTAATTCTGAATGTGTCATAACAACCAGCAAGGAGACTGAATGTTTTGTTCTTTTATTTCAACAGAGTATTACATCAGACATGTCTTGTAGTTGAAACCGTGAGAATAAATAACTCCACCTTCACAAGAACAATTTCTCGCAGACCTATCAACACGATGGATGATGTATAACGTTACTTACAAATGAACTCGCTTCAGAACCTGAAGCTGCTGTGTCTTTGTCGCCCCCGGAGTCAGAGTCCTGGTCGGAGCCGCTGTAAATCCCCCCGGTACTGTATTCCTGGTCGTTAAACTTGCCTCCAATGTCCTCTAGAAATGTGTTCGGTTCTGGTCCGTGTTCACTAGGACTAGGACTCAGGACTTCGTTCCGATGCCATCGACTCAGCTGTGGTTGTGGTGCTCATTTTGGCGCCGTTGCCAGGCAGCATTCCCCCGCTGGGTCCCCCTCTCCAGGCCTGACAACCTCTTCCTCCTGGCGGTCCAAAGATCGTGTTCTAGTGGTATAAACGAACACCTACACTCCCCCGGTACTGCAAGCTCCCAGTCCGGGGTCAGCAAATTGGACCGCTAACTGAGCTAACAAGCTAATGGCAGAGCCAGTTCTAACACTGTGAGGAAAGTAACTGGTGGAGAAACACTAATATATACAATTGTTAAATAAATTTATTTATTTATTAGGCTAGTTGATTGTTTGGACTAAGTCTCGGAGCTGCTTGGACTTCTGATCAGTTCACTTTGAAAAGTGAAGCGAGATCATTATTATTTTAACACGACTATCTGCACAGCACTGCTTGGCATGCAATGCGCTTTGATCAATGACCCATTGGCAGGTAAATGAGAAAGTTAACTCAGGGTTCTGATATAGGTCAATATTTAAAGAGATGTACAACCCTTGAATTGCAAAAAGCTGAACCACACAGCTGAAGATTTCATAATTCTCCTTTTGACCCTTTGTGAAATAGTTGTACACGTCAACGATGTCTGATGATTAAATCATGTCTGATGATTAAATCAGACCATCTCTGAGCCTTCTTCTGAGCCCAGTTTAACAGTGAAGGGTAGAGACGGGACTGAGAGAGACAGAAATGTGATGCAGCCACTACAGCCAGAGCAGCAGAGAACAGCTGTTGCCTTAAGCTCCTGCAGTCACACCAGGACAGCAGCAATGACACGAATTACATATGAAGGAGCGGCTGACCCATCATCATCATGCACGCTCATACAAAATGACACACACTCTTATAAACACTAGCACACACAGACGTGCAGTCTACTGTGGACAGTGGTGATTGAAGGAAGAGGAAGGTACATCTATACATAAGCCACTTCCCTAATTTCCTAACTGGCAAGCACTCCAACAACACTGACACCGTAAAGACATGATTGTCACTAAAGAGATTCTGATGAATATATCTCTTCTGTCAGACTAAAAAAAAAGACATCCTCTGCCATTCTTAAGCAATGATTGGACACTCACTTGCAGCCGCATTGCAAGTCTGCTCAGCCTTACACGTAGCCGTTAAGATCTAACCCAGCCATTTGCCGTTCTGCTCAACACAGCAGGGGCTAATTTGGCGGCTGACCTTACTGGCCTAAAACCACATGTGCAGCAGTTCAGTAAGTGCACTCAAGTGGCAGTCTGCAGGAGAGGGGGATGCACCGTATCAGCAGTGATGGGCAAACCAGGCCTGTTGTGTCAAATGGGTTTCATTTTTCATTGAAGCCTCCACTAGGGACACATGCTGGTCGTCATAATTTACAGCAGGCAAGCAGTTTGTGCTGTGCTGGGGTTCATTAAGTCTTTGAAATTAAACTGGTGATAAAATCAATAAATACATATAAATGAATACTTATCATTGTTGATGCTTCATTCTTCATCTTATTTTAGTGTTCTCCATCAGCAGTATTTTTTATAAAGTCAACAAATAGACACAGAACACGTCTTTTGGATTCCACCTGCAAGTCCATTTTCAGCTGCAAGTGCGCCGCATGTGGAGAATACTTTATTAATGACATAGCCTATTGAAACGAACAAAAGTGTGCTACCAAATGACATCTGCACTGTGTTCACTGTTGCTTTACCTGGTCTGTGCTTGTAAAATGTACTGTGTCTAATGTAATAGATAGCATCTCCATGTGTGTTTCTCTGTAAAATGCTAAAATGGGTCGCCAAATATACTGTTCACACACCTCGGCTGTTCATACACCTGGGCGGCGCTGCCCCTGTAAAGTCTATGTGTGGGGAAACTCCAGTGTACCGAGTTAGGTTCACATGAACTTTCTGTAATGGCACAAACATTGTGGTGACATAGTGGCGGAATAATACATTTGACACCCCCAAATCACTAAGCGAGTCTGACTTTTCCACTCCATTTGTGGGCAAGTTTCATTCACAAAAATGTTACCCGAGAGTGAAAAGCAGAAAGCTCTGACCTCGTAAATTAGCAGAAAAGGAACACAACATATTTAGCAGTGTCAGTTAAACAATTAGCAAATAATGAGTACAGCTGCCAAATGGCGTGGCATGAGAGCTTAGTGAAATAAAGAGGGAATGGTTTGACATGACATGTTACAGATACTAAAGCAAAGCAGTCCAGATGGGAGAAAGTTAAAATGAGACAGTCATGGGGATGGATGGGAGAAAATCACACAAATATCACAAAGACATGTTAACCTGTAAAGTGCACTAGAGGATAATCCTGCACCTGCATAAAGACCTAACAACCGGAATACATAGGGCACGGATGCGAGGGGTCATGTAGGCATGGCACAGCAGGGTTTTTTTTTTTACCTGCTACAAAGACTTTGTAGAGAGTGCCAGCTTCACTGTGTGATTTATTGAGTTTTGCCAAGTGATAATGCGGTTGGTTATGCAGGGCTATGTTAACTGGTACTGAATGAATTTACTGGATCGATCGATTTGATAAATTCATTTTATTGTGAAACTTAAAAACAAACACAAGGAGTTATGTTGGCTCTGTAAAATGAGGTATTTATTTTAGTAGGTGTGTGAAAAAAAAAAAAAAAAAAAAAGAAGAGGTGTTTAAGAATAGAGATGCCTGCGTGCGTGTGCGTGGCTTCCATGGTCCATGTAGCAGCCTCAGTTGATTCTAATGGACTCGCTCTGCTAATGTATTTCGGCCGTGAGAGGACTTTCCAATAACTACTGAACTGCACGTTCTGGAGCCAAAATATGCCAGTAAAAACAAAAAAAACCATACTGAATCTCTCAGAAAATTGGCAAGAAATGGTTAACAGAATATACATTTTGGTTTTAGTTTATTTCAGGTTTTTATTTTAGTTGAGTTCTGCAACATATTTAAACATTTTATGATATAAATATATTTATTATATTTATATAAAAGCACTGAGATTCTGATGTCCCTATGAAGAGAGTTATACTAAGTGTACATGCCTCCAAGGACAGGCTTGGACCACTTGTGAATTCCTTTGTACCCAAGAGAAACGTGGTTGTCTTAAATAACTCGTTTTTAATTTGTTGTTATTGCATTAAGCCCAAGATCTATATCAAACCTAACAAGTAAGAACATTTTCCATAGCATAGAGTCCTCAAATACAATGTAGTTTTTAGGAGGTGTAGTGTAAACTGCCCTGCCTATTGATGCATGTCTGGTATCAAGCTGTAACAGTTTCAAATAAAGTTGTACTTGCTGAAGCTATAGTGGGCCTGCTTTGCCAGCATATAGCCCTTGCTTCACTCCAAAGTATCTTGGTGTACTTCACCTTACTTTGCTGCGAAAGGATGCTTTTTAGCACTTAAGCAAGAATAGAATCTCGACTGCCAGCTGTGTTACTTAAGATGTAGAGGGTCTCTGCAGGTGTGTGTGAAGTGTGAAAAAGGTGCGG